AGCATCGCGGTGAAATTATGCAACGATATAATTTGTGTCTAATTGCACCTAATTACACCACACATTCTTCCAAAATTGGTGGAAACAAATTTCATCTCTTTTTGTTCCAATCATATAATTGAATCCCATTCGCATGAGCAAATTAAAGCAACACATAGCCGTCATTTAATAACTTAAACAATCTGGATTATCACAATAAATCAAACCCATCACATAAAACTAAAATCAGATAATACATAATATAGTTGGAGAGAGGGGGGGGGGGGGGGGGTTGGGGCAAGGAGTGTTTATTGATCTGAAGCAAAAAAATAGCAATATTTTGTGATCTGTGACTAGGAACCATATGTGATGTGTACCTTCTTCTTACCTATCTGAGCCCCAAACTTGATTTATGCTTTCTAATTTCTACCCAAGCTACTCAATGGCATCATTGAGATAAATACACAACTAATTACATTTAGACAAAGCCCGTGGATAGAGCACTTACTTCAGCATTCAAAAGTTAGGAATTTGTTAGCCATTTGTTTTACTACCATTAACCTACAACAATACCCACCAAGAAAATTAGTCCTACTGAACATAATAACAAATAGTTGGTCGGCAACACCAACAGGTGATAATTACACAATTTAACAACACACAATAATCACAAAAATACCAATTAATTAAAACTTTCTTTAGTTGATTTTGCATTCTATAAAAATTCAGGGTTTTTCTCCATGGGTCTCTAAAATCAAGTAACAATTTAACCTTTAGCCAATTAAAATATCTATCAACAACATATCAATTCAAACTATTATACTCAATTTCGAAAACTCTAGCATTTAATTTCTTACAAAACATAACCCAATTTTAAAAATATAGCATTCAATTTCCTACAAAACACCTAATTTGAAAAAAATCATAGAAAACATTAGAAAAATGTGCGTTTGCTATGTTTGAATGTCAATGTGTGTGTGTGTATGACCTGTTGGTTTGTCTGTGTGTGATGTGCAACTGGTGTGTGTGTGTGTGTGTGTGTGTGATGGGGGTGTGTGTGTGCACGATGGGTTTGTGTATGTCGTGTGTGTGTATGTGCGATATGTATGTGTATGTGTGATGGGTGTGTGTGTATGCCCTGTTGGTGTGTACTGTGTGTTCGACTGCCTTTGTGTGTGTGTGAAAGAATGGTGAGACACAGAGAGTGCAACTGGAGAGAGATGAAACAAAGAGAGACAGAGCGGGAGGTATCTGGGATGCTGGTTGATTGGCGGTAGGTTGAAAAGTAGAAGACAAATCGCATGGAGAGAGAGGGAGGGGGAGAGAGAGAGGAGGGGAGGGAGGTTGAATGACTGAGTGGGCGTGTGGGTTGGGTACCATTTTGTAACGTGTAGGAGTGAATAAGGTTTGGGCGGGATTTTGTTTTTGTGTGGGATTCATTGCGGCCTTTGGATTAAATTGAATAATTGAGATTAAATCTGGACCATTGAATTAAAAGTGAATTAAATATGAGCCATCCTTGTTCTTTTCCAAATGAATTAAAATTGAATTAAATTTTGAAGCAAAAATAGATTCAAAAGTGGTTCAATCTTTTATATATAATACTACGAAGTCATACTATAAAGTTTAGTTTTTATTACTTTTACACTGTTTTGATATATTGTATTGATACAGTTTAAAAGGTTTATGAAATTAAAGTGTATCAATATAATGTATCAAACTAATATACGAGTAATAGAAATTACACAAATTTAAGTATATTAATACAGTGTATCAAAACAGAATAGAAGTAATAGAAACTAGACTTCATAGTGTGATTTCGTAATATTACATGTGTGTGTGTGTGTATATATATATATATATATAAAGTACAATACAATTCAAATTTCAAAAGATAAATAAAATAATTTTTACTTTTCGCAGTTGAGATCAGTTAAAATTTTATTTTAAAGTTAATCCGACGACTAATATTAACTTTCCAAATTTAATAAAAAAAATAGGCTCTAAAATGTGTGTTGTGGGTGACTTTTCAAAAATGCTTCTACGACTTATAATTTTTTATAAATACTTTAAAAAAAAAAAGTAATGTTTGCAATCACCCAACTACCACCACCACCACTGCCACCCAACCATCATCACAACTATCACCACCCCCACCACCATCGTCGTTGCCACCCTACCACTGCCCCCACTACCACCTCTGCCACAACCACCATCACCACCCACCATCGATTGTTACCATTATTGTCCACCAACCACCACCACCCATCATCACCTACCACTATCATCACCCACCCCCCACCACACCTACCACCACCACCACCATTCGTCACCACTCATCATATTATCGCTCATAAAACACTCGTCGTCACCTCCTCACCACAAACCCACCATCGCCAATAGCACCGTCATCACCTCATCACCACCACTGCCAACCACCATCACTTCCCACCACCACCACTGCCATCACCCATAGCTACCACTACCATTACCTTTGCCACCCCACGGCTGCAATCACCACTACAATCGTTGCAGCCTACCACAAATATCATCGTCTCGCACTATCACCATTACAAACCGCTCACCCCCACCACAATCAGTGCTTAATTCCTTTCTCTTTCTCATCTATATTTTGTGATTTTATTTTGAGTGTAAATACAAATATGTTTATTGTTAATCATTTTCTTTATTATTCCGTACCTTCAGGTACTGCCAATAACTAGTATCTATATGATAAGAGAGATATGTTTAATGACAAGAAGATTGACAAAAAAATTTAAAATTCAAAATAGCAAAAATATGCAAAATTTGTGATAATATTATTCTTCCATTATTAAGAAAAAATTAATACAATAAAATAAAATCAAAAATCAACTTAATTGACAAAAAAAATATGCATGATTTAAGGGAGGGCAAATATATCAAAGGAAAATCATGCAAAAAAAATATGGATGATTTAAGGGAGGGCAAACAGATATTTTGGTTTGGTGCAGTGAGTTGCATGAGTAGTATTATTTGGGCCACGTGAGTTTGATAGGGGCCAACAGCTGGCCCATTGTCTTTTTGCTTTGATGACTGTTAAAAATGTGTGACATCAGTCTTAAAAAATGGCATAGCGTTGATGATCACGTGATATTTTTTTGTTTCATTTCTCGATATTTGGATATACCATAATTATCATTAATGACCGCACGAGTTATTCAACAGTCATTGTCAATAATAAATTTTTAAAAAAAATTATTTTTGAACGCAAAACTTGAATAGTTCATGCCATCACAAAAATTCATTTGTCATTATCTTCACTTTTTTTTTTTTTTTTTTTATAATGTAACCTTATGTTCATAAATAAATCAATGTCGTAAATAATAGTTTTATATAATATCATAATAAAAATGAATTATAAACTCAACCAACTACTTTTAATATAAACCATATTTGTATCCCTACTTTTTTTTATAAAAAAAAATCACTTTTTTTTTCTACATCATCAAAATAATGCAACAAGTGTCTTTCTTAGTACAAGTGACACTCATTTATGTGATTACATCCTAAATGGTTATTAAATATTAAGTTATTGTTCTTTTTAAATACACTAGGTGAGATACTTATATATTGAATGTTTTAAAAAATTAGAGGTTAACAATAAAATTTTTAAAAAATATAAGGACATAATGGAAATTTTTAAAATTTGAGGGGGTCATGGCACCCCTAGGCCTCCTAATAGTTCCGTCTCTGACTGAACCACTTATTCTCTCTCTAATAGTTTTTTTTTTTTTTTTTTTGTAGTCATGTGTTTGTTAGACTAATTTATAAATATTTTAATTAATTTTTTTTTCTAATTTGGTTAAATACAGACCATTTACGCTAGCATGGACGAAACTACATTGGGGACGAGGGGGGCCATGACCACCCTCAACCATATACTACCCCCTTAGATTTTTTAAAATTGTATACCTTCTTTTAAGTTTTCAAAAAAAATTATATATGTAGGATAATTGAATTAATATATTCAAAAACCTTATTGGCTTGATATTTAATAACAAAAATGGATACTAGTCACATGAATTAATTTTTCTCTTATAGAAAAATACACATGTTTGTATGAGTCTTATAACTCGAGAAAAAAAGAAGAATTTTTTTTTTTTGATTACTTGGGTGACATACATCATAATAATATATTGTCATATTTATGATAGTATCACATGGAAATAATATTTATGACAATTTGTAGTCATTGTATCATGTAATGAATGAGATATTTATGATTGTATCATGTAATGAATATGTCAAGTTATATATATATATATATATATATATTTATATAATAAAACATGAGTGTGTTTGAATTTTATTCCAGTCATATTTTCCCCTGCAAAACGTTCACCAATTCCTTACCTCATCTATCATCTCTTTGTCAAATTCAAACGTCAAATTATATCACTCATTTTTATCACATATTTAATCATTTTGTATATTTCTTCCCTAAAAATATCACACAACTCATTTCTATCATATATTTAATTATTTAATATTAATTAATTTGTAGTTAATATATTTAAAAAAAATTTAATATAGTGAGATCAATTTTTTAGACATTCGAATTTTATATTTTATCGTGCCTTCAGGCACAAGTCATGACTAATATATATATATATATATATATATATAACTCGAGTAATAATATGTATCTCAAATTTATAATTCAAATTTACCTTTCAAATTAAGGAGGGCTACTGGATTAGTGGTCCCATTTAAAAACGTTAATAGGATCCACCGATCCAATAATCTTCCCACTGATCTAATAATCTTCGTTGATTTGTAATATAAATTTAAGTTACAAATTAAATTTAGAATGCACAGGCATATAACTCATTTGTGTATTCACTCTGGTCTTTATTTTTAATAAATTTGAAATAACATTCAAAACCGCTCAATCCACAAAATACTCTCGGTCGTTCTTTCACATCTCTCTCTCTCTCTGTCTCTCTCTCTCTCGTATTCCCTGAATCGGTTTCCTTGAGATGAAGGCGAAGACGAAGAGGAAGACGACATTCTCAGTTGCTGAATCATCCATTAAACCAGAAGGAGGTACGTCACAGTCGACCAAACACTTTCGTCATTCTTCGCATGCAAAATATCTTTATCTCTACCGCTGGGATGGCACTCTAATACGCGTTATTATTTCTTGAGCGTCTAGAACAACCTTTACAATTCACAGCAAACAAGTTTAGGAATTCAAATTTAAAGTACAAATTACTGAAATATTACGAGGTATGCATATCAATCATCATATTGAGTATTGATTTTACTGTTTTTGCAATGGTTATGTGTAATAGTTTTTGAATTCTGAGTATTTCCTTTATTTTGGGATTATTTGGAAAGAAACATTTGTTTGCTATAGAGTTGATCATATTGCTTTTTGGTTAGAGAAATAGATGAACAAGGGGATTATTGATTGAATTAGAATCATTATTAACTCTTTTTGTCGCGGGATTTGAACTTCAGATTATAGTGAATCCATTGGCATTACGCATGATGTACTAAATAAGTGAGAATGCTTGCATTAATGTTATTCATGCTCATTGCAGTTGATCCACTACTGGATATCCTTGTTTTCTGCTACTGACCATAGGTTTATGGGTGTTATTTGTAACTTGACATTGAGAATTTTTATGTTGGTAGATTAGTATGCAAGTTCAAACATATTTTTGGAAAGAAATGTCCTTCTTATAGGGCCATAGAGTTTTGCTATTGAATAGAGAACTTATACCTAATCCTCGAATACATTATTCATAATTTAGTTCAAAAATAAAGTTGTTTCTGGGATTCCTATTTTTCCTGTTTCTGGTCCATCTATTGTCTCTGATTTTTGTGGTTCTGTTGGGAGAAAGGGAAAAATGTTGATGAGGAAGTGTTGAGAAATGGTGTGGCTGGGGTTCATGGGATAAATTCTGGGGAAGGGGGTTTAAACAATGGAAAAAATGGTACTTTTGGTGAAGGGTCCAGTGAGTTTGAGGTTTCAGATAGAGAGTTGGTTATTGTTGAGTAATTTGGTTCTATAGATTCTAGGATTGTGACAAAATTTGCTCCGTTAGATGTTCTAGCTGTTGTATGTTGTGACCAATATTTGAGTACTGATAGAAGGGGTAATACAATGAACTTTGGCATGGGGTTTTCTGAAGATGTTACCACTAGACTCTTGTATGTCATGGTGGAATGAGGGATAATGGAGAGTCAAGGCTAAGAGAGGGAAATAGTGACTGTTTTGTATCTGAAGAAGAAAAGTGGGTAGTGTTGAATTTTGTTTTGCAAAAAATGAATTTGTCATTAGTTCCATCTAAGGGTTGGGCTTGACATTGTTATATTGCAAGAGAATAAGTAGGAAGTCATTGATCGAAGAGTTATCAAGCATGTCTAGGGATATAGGTTCCAACATTAGGTGTCTCTTCCCTCTATTGGTAAATCAGGAGGGATTCCCTCGAAAGGTTCTTGACTTTGTCTTAGAGGTAAAAAGGTTTGGAGAGAGGCGGAGGAATTGGATCAGAGGATGTTTGGAATCTATGAATTTTTCCATCATGTTAAATGGGAGATCGAGGGAAAAATTTAAGGCATCAAGAGGGTTGAGACTGGGTGATCTTTTATCTCCTTTCCTGTTTATATTGGTGGTGGATGGTTTGAGTAGAATCATAGACAAGGCAGAGAGGTGAAATTTAGTGGAGGGTTTTATGGTTGGTGGGAGAGAGTGGTGGTTTCTCATTTGTAATTTGTAAATGATACCATTTTCTTTTCTTCGGAGGATGAGGTGAAAATCCAAAACTTGAAAAAACTTGTTGAGGTTTTTGGGGTTATATCAGGTCTTAAGGTTAATTTGGAGAAGAGTGTTGGTGTGGATATAAGATTGATAGATTGACTTTTGATTTGGGTTGTTTGGAGGGTGGTTGGCCCTTTAAGTATCTTGGGCTCCCTTGGGTGGTAATCCGATATCTAGGCTTTTTTGGGATCCAATAATTGAGAAGATTGGGAAAAAGGTTGGATGGATGGAATAAAACTTTTATTTCTTGGGGAGGTACGCTAACTTTGGTTCAGTTTGTTTTGGTTAGTGTTCCTATTTATTTCATGTCTATCTTTAGATTACCAAGTTTTGTTGCTAGGACAATTGAAGGCTTGATGAGGAATTTTTTATGGGTGGAATCTAGGGAAGGTAGGAAAGAGCATTTGACTTCATGGGAGATTGTGTCTAGACCTAGGGTTTAAGGTGGTCGTTCAATTGAAAATTTGTTAAAAAGGAACGAGCCTTTGGTTGTGAAATGACTTTGGAGATTTTCTTTGGAACAAGGATCATTGTGGTTTTCCATTATTAGAAGCAAATATGGGTTACAACATAATAGTTGGGGTGCTAATGGGGTTGATAGAGGTACCTTTCGAAGTCCATGGAAGTTTATAGCTCAAGGGTTACCAAATTTCTCTTAGAAACTTACGCTCATGGTGGGGGATGGTACTAGAATTCGTTTTTGGGAAGATTTATGGGTTGGTGAGTCTCCATTGTATGATCTTTTTCCTCATATTGATCATATTTTGATGTTCCACAGGTATAAAGTTGTGTCATTAATTTGTTATGATTCTTTGTTCTTGTCTTGGAATTTGAATTTTGTAGAAGTCTTGATGATAGAAAATGTTTAGAGGTGGTAGAAATTATTTTTTTCCTTAATAGTGTTTCTTTGACTCATGGTTCTTTGGACCAAAGAGTTTGGACAATTGATTTTTCCGATATTTTGTCTTGTAATCCTTTTTTTATTATTAATTGATGATCCATCAATTCTAATGTTTTCCCCTTCGATAGTGATATGAGAATCTAGAGTGCCTCTTAAGAAGTAAATTTGTGTATAGATAATTGCTTATGGTAGGCTTAATACTTATGATGTGTTTCAAAGAAGAAGATCTTAGATTTGTCCTTCACCGCAATAGTGTGTTATGTGCAAAGGTGATGGAGATAGTATTGATCATATTTTTCTTCACTGTCCTGTTGCATTCTCTCTTTGAAATAAGTTGTTTAAGTGTTGGGCATTGTTGGGTGGCACCAAGAAATATGTTTTCGATGATACGTTTGGATGTTTGGAGCGGGGGTAGGAATAGGAAGTGGAAAACCCTTGGCTTTATGCTTGTAAATGCTATTGTTTGGGTAATTTAGTTGGAAAGGAATGCAATGATTTTTTTATGACAAATGTGAGAAGATTAAAGAACTATGAGAACGACTTTTCTTTTTGGTTTCATTTTGGGCCTCCGTGGCTAAAGAGTTTGAAGATATCCATATTTCTTACATTATTTCAAGTTGGGCCGTAACGTGTGGAATGTAATGTTTGCTCATGCATGAGTTTTTTTTGTTGTCTGGTTTTTTTATGTTTACATATCTTAGTTTTTGGATGCCTCGTCCAATTATGATATGTCCTTTATATTTTTTGATTTTTATTGAATTCATTGTTTCTTATTAAAAAAAATAATCAGTTCATACCATTTTCAACTACATAAACAAAAAATCTGAACCACACCACAGACGGGTTGCCCGAAGTTTGTTTCAGAACATACCAATGGCGATTAGTCCATCTCATTCATTGTAATGTATTCGAAAACTCTTAAGTCTTACCTTTGAAGAACAAGATATCGTAACAAGGAAAATAACTATTGCAAAAGGCTCACGAGACAAAAATTCGTACCAAAGTAGAACAAATTAAACACAGTTGTCTATAAAAAAATATCAAAAATGTTTCCCCTTGAAACAGTCGTAGTTGATGAAGAATCCATTTTTTAGTGTGCTTGAAAAAGTTTTTTTTTGTCTTCCAATAATGTCAATTAGACCAAGTTTAGGAATCAAATTTGACCACCTACTCTACTATTGTCATTAGATCAGCAGTGGAACAAAACTAATATTACGGTCCACTATTGATCCGATAGTAATAATATAAAATAAACCTTCAAATTATATGCAACTAGCATTACTCTTTATGTTCGGACCATCTCGGTGAGGCTAGTATCCATATCGCTGTCACATGTATAACCCCACGTATAAATAGATTAGTATAGTTACACCTAATTTAGTAAATTCAAAATTAAAATATTTATTTTTAGAGGGTTAGTGGTAGTGGACAACAAGTTTATTGAAAAAAAGATTATTGTATCATTATTGAAATATTTTATAAATTTAGTAGGCTGGTAATTCTAGACACAACTCGTGAAATTGACACGAATCTGACACGGATTTTGCGGGTTTGGATGTAGTCCTAACGGGTTTGGGTGGTTAATGAGTTAATTTGATAGACCCGTGAAATAAACGAATCGATTTTGTGTTTAACCTATAACCTCGTTTCAACCCGTTTAACCTGTTAACAGTGCTACAATAAATTTTTAAAAAATAAGTTTGGTCTATCAGCTTCTGTCTCATCTCACATCTCTCATCTCTCAGAATAATTCAAATTTAGTACTCATTTAATGTTTATTTTTGTCTTTATTTTTTTGTTTAGTCATAATTTATTGTTATAATAAATAGGTCAAACATGTGTAATGTGTAGCGAATTAATGATTTTTCATGTGGACTCGAAATTATCTAATTTATTCTTTTATTTAGCGGGTGACACATGGGTTGTATCGAGTAACCCGTCTAATAAACGATTTGTGTATGAGTGTGATAGTTAGACTCGTTTATATAAACGAATAGGGTATAGATTGTATAGTTAAACTCGTTTATATAAACGAATAGGGTATGGGTGAAAGATTTTTTGACACAATCATTTCATCCGACACGAAAGACGATTGCCACGCCTAAAATTTAGAGAGGGCAAATATAGTAAAAATAATAATTTT